TGCTTTTGCATCAGAAGTGGACCGGTTCAAGAGGAATACAGGAAGCAGGACCCAAATGGAGAGCAGATTTGTTTGTATGCGCTGGCTGCTGTAAACGCTACAGCCTTGTGTGGTGGGACCTAGGTGGAAGGAAACAAACTGCGGCTGTGTGTGCATGCATGGCCTGGTGTTGATGGAAACCATATTTGTGCTTAATCCGTTGGAGAAATTGCTCAAGTACAGTTCATTGTAGTGAAAACATTAGCCCTGTAAAGCTGCCAGGGTCACTGTCTGCTTGGATTATTCATTGCATATGTGCTGGGAGCACCAGTGAGGCTTGCCTGGAGCCTCATCTAGCCTCTGCAGTCGGCTTTGCAGAAGCGCTTTCCTGTGTTTATCGGCTCTTTCAGTTTCTGTTCATCCTCTCTTTTCCGGGGTGGAAAGGTTGAGATTTGTTCTACTCTGTTTAGGTCCAAGAAAGCTACCTTTAATTATTCTCCATCTTCCTGTATTTAGTTTTGCAAGTGGATTTCTTTGGACGGGAGACATTTCAAGAAAGTTTCCTACATTCGTGGGCGATTCGGTCTCATTCTCTTACCACCTCCCACCACGTACAGAAGGGAGAAAAGCAACTTAGAGTTAAACTGCAACAGGATAGTCGATATGGGGAAGCTAAATCTAATACTTAAAAGGCTAACTGGGTCACTCTAGAGCTTACATTTTCTGATGACTGCCTGCAAATTTCACATTTAGAAATATATATGTGTGTGTGTACATATATTGTGGCCAGTGACCTACCACTGTATTGGGGTAAACGTACCAAAGCACTTGCCATTGAATCTGTATTTCCTCTCCTTTGGTTTAATTTACACCATTGTAAAAATGAGATTGTAACATTTGGTACCAAACACAAAATTTTGATGATGGGGCTCTGACAAAGCAGCTGATACTTGAGACAGGGTGAAATGTGATAACACTGTCTTGAATTATAAATGGCCAAGGCTCAGCTCCAGTACATAAGGCTCTTAGAACTGGCATACATTGTAAAGCATCCCTGGAAACGCCTCTGATTTATAGTCGAGCTGCCCCTTTAGAGAGAATCTAAAATAATCTAAACCAGACATCAGTGGAAGATATAAGAAGCCTCTTATCTAGTGAGCCCTGTTTCTCTGGGCCTACAGACCTCACGCGAATGCACTCACTTATCTGAGACTCTAGCTCAGCCTGTCCTGACATACTAGGGGACTTGATAAATTATAAAGATTAATGTCAAGAGGAGAGAATTTGTGCCTGGCCAGAAAGAGAGAGTCATGGAAGGGTGTGAGTTTGGTTGGATTTCACAGCCTTTGTGGAAGGGTCGGAGAAGTTTTTGAGGGACCATTTCCCCATGCCAGTGAAAAACGATGGAGAGCTTAAAATAATACACCAAAGGAGAAAAAGCCTTTATTTTGTCCTAGGGAAAGTCTGTGGTGCTTTCCCCCGTGGCTCGTGGACCAGGTGCGCTCATCCCTTTGCTGGCGTAGCTGGAGCTGCGGGTGGTTTCTGCAGTGACCGGAGATGGTCCGCTTGTGCGGCTGGGGGTCTTCGATGGTGGGGACACTTGCACCTTAGGGAGGTTGAGTTCAGGGCGCTAAGAAGTGGGGTTGCAGCAGCTGAGCGGGTGCAGCCTTTGCCAGTGAGGAAAGGGTGGTCTGCGTCTCGGAGAAGACAAGCGCGGTGTTGTCACCAGCGCCTGTGCGGTGCGGCCGGCGGGAGCCGCCCCAGGAAGCTGCTCTGCCCGCACGGCCGCGGAGGTGCTGCGCTGCTCCTGCATCGCTCAGTGCTGGGGCTGCGCTGCTGCCGAGTGTTTTAAGGCTCGGCATAGCTTGATTGGAGAGAGAGTAGATGACTGGAGAGAGCTGTAAAGTGCACCTGGGAACATTAAAGTCTGTTCTAAGTTAACTTCATGAAAAGCTCTCTCTTTTTTTTTTTAAAACAATAGTCTTGAACGTCAAATGGCAAGGAGAACATGAAAAAGCACTGCTGACTGTTGGCTCTCTCTCTCTCCCCATGTAGAGCCGTGCGTTATTTTATCTTTCATTTTCTATTGTTTTAATATCTCATAAGAATCTGGAAAATTGCGTTTCTGTTTCTGTGGGCTTCCTCTTTTCTCCCCATTTGACAGCTACTGCTTCCTTCTCCCGCGCATCCTGAGGAAGCCGTGCTGTTGTATCCCCTCCACTGCGCCGTGCTCTGCTCACGGATGTGTGCTCTGCAATATTCATCGATGCCATCCATGTGCCAGAGCTGCTCAGAGGTCTCAGCTAGAAACTGGACTCCAAAACGCAGAGCAATTCCCAGCCCGCGAGCTGGCAGACTGTCCAGGGCAATGCAACAAAGGGATGAAAGGGGGGAGCCAGACACTGATTTGCAGTGGTGGAAGGTCTTGCCAAACGCCACAGTGAGATGCTACAGCAGTCTGCCCTGTGCTTTCAAATTGCACGGCAAGGCCATAACCACAAAAGCATCAGTTGTCTCCAAAGAGCGGTCCCACATTGGCAGAGGAATACATGCAGTGATTTATTTTCTTTAAGCCTTTTCCACTGTACCTCTTATCTCTGGCCAGGAGAAATGGGACATGGGCCAGCTCCTAGGCTGGGCATGCTAAGAGGTCACCTGCCTTTTCAGGGTGCTGTTGTCCAGGTCTGCCTGACCCCATCTGCGTTACTGCTCCTTTGGTCGTTGGAGGTGTCCTGATTTCACATGCAGCTGGAAGGGATTTGAAATGTGGGGTAGCCGCCTCCAGAGGGTTTTTGCATCCTTTTTGCATCCAAACTGGAGGCTGTTTCTGTTGCTACAAAGCATCTGGGATGCCTTAACAAGCTGTGTCCAGCAGGCCTGTGTGGCGTGGACTGCTTAGATTGATGGGCTGTCCCCTTTGCTGTGTCCGGTTGTGCTGGCTGGTGATGGGACCGTCTGGGCACTCGCCGTCCATCCCGCGGCTGGCAACATCCCTGCCGTCTGGCTGGCCGCAGCAGCTCCTGCAAGCACACCGCTTCCCTTCAGCCAAAACCATCCAGGTTGGCTCCCCAGACCTATTTACGACGTTTAAGCTAATCCAGGTGAGCTTGCTTGGAAGCAGATCAAGGAGCACTCTCACAGACGGCCGTGCCGTCAGCGACGCAGGGCAGCAACGCCTGGCTGGGACCCAGGCTTTGGCCAGCCCAGCTGTTTGCAAGCTGCACATCTGCAGCCCCAGGCGAGCTGGAGGTGTGCAGACCACGTCCGTGGGGCCTCCTCATCCCTGCGAGATCGCACCTCTAACCGAACCAGGGCAGCTTGGTCTATTGTCTGGGCCAAAGTCCAGCTTAATCATCGTCAGTGGAGTTGTCTCTGGTTTTGAGATATTTGTGATGTTTGCTGGGTTAAGCAGGTCTGGTCTTGCTGCCTGTTTCACCCTCCTAAGCGTTGCACACTTTTTGCAGCTCAGCATCTCCGATGCTGCACTGAAATGGGAGCTTTATTCAGCAAAGCACCATCTGGTTATTGCCCTCCTACATCATCCAGCTGGTTTTTAACCACAGCTACGTTTAAAGAGCAGTAACTGGCTTTCCTCTTTGCACAGGGGATTGTTTCCAACGCTGGCAGAAGGGATCTGTGAGTTCCTCCTTAAGCAATCAAGCAGCATCCAGGCGGATCACTGGCGAGAGTCTGTAGAGTATGATGAAAGAATGAGTCCTTTGCCACTGAAAATCCCTTGTGAATAGGTTTAGATAGAACGGCAATAATGCACTTGTAGTGTTTAATTTTCTGTGTATTTAGAGATGCAAGGATGTCGTTGCTGAAGATATGCTTTATTTGAGGTTTAATGGGGGAAATTAGCAGGAAATAGCTGGTATTACTGAGCTACGTGACACTGAAGGGTAAAAAAGCCTCCCAGAAAGGCGGATTTTCTTTTCGGAGAGATTGAAGGCTAAGCAGATTGAAACCAGGGAAAAGAAACATACTGGCCAATTAATCGCAATAGTTTCAGCGGAGCCGAACGTGTAAAATCCAGGGCAGGGGAGACGCGCGCGGGGCCGGAGTGCGGCCGCGGGATCTTCGCCGCTCACGGGGAGGGCCGCGAGCGCAGGGCTTTGCCTGGGCTGCGGACAGGCAACGGGGCGTGGGACGGCAGCTTTGCCGGGCTG